AACAGGAAATATTTTGCTTTCAGAGAACAAGAAAAATAGGTTTATTTGTGTTACAACTGTGTGTTTATTCAGTGTCTGGTAAGTTAATGTTCGAGAAAAATATTAATTTTTATTAAAATGTTCTATTATTTTATGTTAATGATTACTCATTTATTTTAGCCCTTTATATTCAGCATGTCTCTATAGAAATAAACCTACATTTCTATGAAAATTGAAGCTTTTGTTTTTTTGCAGCCCTCGTAAACTTAAACCTTGTTTATTTGGCTCGTGTTAGCCTTTTAGTTTGACATGCTTGGTATAGGACAACAAAGAATAACATTAAATTTTTATTTCCATTTTCATGCTTCAGTGCCTAAGAAAACACCATGTGAAGCGTCAGATTCTTCTTTTTCAAATAATGTGCTTATCATAGTACAATTTGCTTCTTTTTCACAGAAATGATAGATAGCAAACTCACTTTTGGTTTAGGCTTATAGTATTGGTTGCATAGACTGGGTGATAGGACAGGTTAAAACCCCATTCCCAATAAAGGGTTTATCTGAGATGTTGATATGCAGATTAAATAATTTCCTTGTAAAAGGATTTTATATTTATTTACTCATGCTAAAACTTTTATGCCAGTTGGATATTTCCAAATATGTCATCTCTCTCTCTCTCTCTCTCTCTCTCTCTCTCTCTCTCTCTCTCTCAGTATTTTAAGGTACATATAGTAAGCAGTATATATATATACTGCTTACTATATGTACCTTAAAATACTGCTCTGTTATCTTCTTCCTTCTCCAAGCAAATGCATCACTTATACTTCTTTTCATAAAGAGATAGTCATTATAAAGGTGGCAAAACTAGAAAGCAAATGAGTTTTATGATTTCAGAGAATGAGCTGACTATTCATTTACTAGGATGTTTTCAGAGTATTTTAGAACTATCAGAAGTAGAATAATGGTCCATATATTGCTATCGGGTTTCCTTTATGGACAAAGTAAGCCATCTAATCTTGACAGACACAATTGTTTTTGATTTCCTGCCATGGATATCCATCACAGAAATAGAAGTGATTAATAGCATTTTGTTCACTAACCAAAAACATTTATAATGTACACCTGGAAAATATTCCAAGTTTGAGGATAACATTAAAGTTTCAAAAAATTTCAACAACTGAAAAATCAATATCAGTTGAGGAGAGAAAGCCATAAATGTACTTTTAAGAGGGATGGAAAATAAATTTTTAGATTTTCATTAACTTTAAGGAGATAGTGGAAGAAAAAAAAAACCTTTAAGAGAATTGATGGGAAATATTGTTTTCCATTTTAAAATGAATATTATTCCAGGAATTTACTTATCATGTATATGTTCAAAACATGTATAAGATTTTCTCAAATTAAACAGATTATTGTAAATGTTTAAAAGAACTTCTATTCCCATTTACTTTCTGTCATCAAGCTAAAAATTCTAGAATAATGGTGGTAGTAATGCAGGGAGAGTACTATAGACTTAGAAAAACAGTTGTACCCAAAATAGATTTTATGCTTTAGTAATTACAGGAAGTCATCTTTTCTCTCATCATCTATGGACCATACAAGCAAAAGAAAGAAAAGAGGTGAGGTGCTAGAAATGGCCCTAAAGCAGACTTGCAAACAGCTTAGCTTTGGGGAACATTCTTGCAAAAATTATCTGTCTAGAAAATATGCCTGATGAATATATGTTGAAAGGCTAAACAAAATGGAAATATCACTGTAGAGAGCACACTTTCACTCATTTATTACTTCAATTATGTTTTTATTTATTCAATCAAAATATTTGAGTTTTAGTAACTGGAAAGGCATGGGGTTAAGCAAATAAGAAATAAAATCTGTCCCCATAGAGGAGAAGAAAATTAACAATTGTTGAGGGCAAACTATGGCCAGGCTCTATACATCTTATATCAACTCTATGAGGTGGATATTTTTTTTTATCATTTCTCTTTTTATATCTGAGGAAGCTGAGCCTCATGGGTGTTAAATAGATTGTTCTAAGTCACACAAATAGTAAGTGGCAGAGTTCAACTTCCAAAACACTTTGTCTCCAAAGCTCACTACACTATGTCTCTGTCTTTCCCACTAGCTTGTAATCTAGTGGGAAAGACAGAGACATGCAAAAGTAGCTGCAACACAGATAAGAGACTGTGACAAATACCAGGAGAGAGGCACATGACACTTGCTCTAGGAGGAGAGAGAAGGAAGCTCTTCACTGGCTAGCCTCAAGGTCACGCTGGAAAGGCTTCACAGAGAAGGTGGCATTTGAGCTTGGTCTTGAATATATAAATGGGGGAAAGGGGAAGGGGAGAATTACAGGTAGAGACATAAAAGTGCATTGCAGGTTGAAGAAACAACTCATAGTATTGCAGGACTGGGGAAGATATGTCTCACGCTTGTTTTCATACTTGAGTTTGGAATTTTAGAATATTTGGCAGCATGCCTAAACAATGCCATGGCCCACAGTCATTACAACACAATGAGGCACATGAGCTCTGGAGTTAGGATGCAGGCTTTGAACTAGGCTCTGCCACTTTCTAGTTGTGGGACCTTTAGAAAATCATTTAAGTTTTGTTTGGTTAAACAAGTATACGCACCATGAGGTTGTTTTAAGGAGAATATGAGTAGATACATGTAAACTGCTTAGCATTGACTCCCTAAATTGGCTGTTAGGAATACTACATCCCAGTAATACATTCAGTAATTGCAGGATTCTCTTGGACACTTTTTGCACCATGGCATTGTTGGAAGAGAACTGTACTGTACACAGTATTAAGTAAACTCTCCTATATACTCACCAGGCACAGTTTCAGCAACAATCTCTTTTCTGCTGGGTTACTGTTTTGTTAGGCCTCTGCTACTCTCCAAAACATAATCTTCTATACTGCATTGCAAGACCCACTTGACTAAATGTACAATTTGGCAGATATACAGAATAATGTTTAGGTTTAGCAAAAATTACCCACCACTCTGGTAGCACATATGGGGAGTGGTTTACAATGTGGCTTAGCCTGGTGGTTGAGAACCAACTGTAGAGAGTAGGTACATTAGGAGTGGGGGAGGGGTACAAGGTAAGGAAGATAGTGGCAGGAAAAGTCAGTCAACTCATGATCAGATTGGAAAGGAACTGGAATGCCATGTTGAAGGGCTTGGTCTTGACCCAACAGATATGAAGAGCCATGGAAAAGAATGACAGTAGGTGCATGGGCTGAATTGTATTCCTCTCAAGTGCCTATGTTGAGCCCCTCCCCCACCCTCAAAGTGTAACTGTTTGGAGATAAGGCCTTTAGGAAGGTAATAAGGTTAAGTGAAGTTATTAAGGTGGAGCCCTGATGTGATAGGATGTGTCCTTATAAGAAGAGACACCAGAGCTCTCCCTCTGCCATGTGAGGACATAGCAAGAAGGTGGCCATCGATAAGCCAGGCAGAGAGGCTTTAGCAGAAACCCACTCTGATCTCAGACTTCCAGCCTCTGGAACTGAGAAGATGAAGTTCTATTGTTTAAGCCACTCGGTCTGAAGTATTTTGTTAGGGTATCCCCAGCAGACTAACACAGTAGGAAATGAGCATAATTGGATTTGGGATTTAGGTAGATGACTAGTGCAGTGAAGAGAATTGTTTTGCATATTTTTTGTCTGGTCAACTCTATAAATACTTTGAAACCCAACTGCTCTGAGACGAGTTCTTGATTTCTTAAGCTTGATTTTAATGTCCTTCAATATGTTCCCATAGTATTATGTGAATACATCTATCATAATAATGTATCATAATTCTTGGTTATTTCCCCACTACACTAGATTGTAAACTCCTTGAGATCAGGAACCACATTCTATCTTTGTATTCCCAGCATCTAGTACTGTACTTGGCATAGAAGAGTATTTCAATAAATATCTGTGGAATTAATAATTCATAAGTTAATAGAAGAACCTGGGCAAGGAAACCAGTTCTAAGATACTAATATAATAGTCCATTAGCAGAATATCCACATGAAGCTTATACCATATTGTCTTAATTGTTTGACAAAAGATGAAACAACTGATAATAGTGTATCTTTAACATTTTATTTCAAATCCCTTCCAAAATGATATTAAATGAAACTTTATCTACAAAGTGCTGAAAAAATACATTTTTAATGATTTTTGCCTCAATTAAAACGAGTCTCCTTCCCTCACTTTAAGTCCTAATATAAATATACTGTACCTAATATCCTCGAGAGAGAAGAAAATGCTGACTGTGTCTAATTACCTAATTTGTTTGGAGGAATCAGCAGTAGTCCACAAAGAGAATTAATGTGATCAGCAAACTGAAATGCATTGTTTTGTAATTTATGCAGAATTCCCGATAAGTCTTTCAGAGTTTGCCAATATGTGCAATGATTAAAGACATTAGGCCAAAACAAATCCTCTGTCTTTGCCTTTATAGTTCAGAAACAGTTACAGGAATGAAATTTATCCATTAACTAAATAAAGTATTTCTATAAATCACTGCATTAATTGCTGACTTAAGGGCTGTGCCTGCATCATGAAAAGCAAATAAAAGATGTTGCCAAAAAAGAGACTTGTCTAGTTGATTTGACAACATCAATGTGTTTAATTTCAGCCTTTAGTGGAAATGGTGACAGACTCATTCCTTTGTTCATTTAATTTTGATCTATTAAGACAATCAATCACATTCAATTTTTCCTGATTTTATAATAGTTCTGTTCTTAAAAACATTGTATATGGTTTGTGAAAGTACATGGATCCATTTTCCTCCATTTCTCTCTAATTCGGTTGTTCCTATACATCCTTGGGCTTTTGTAGAGACTGAGAATAGGCAGTTTAATAGAATTTTTAAATCTTCAATTAAAATTCTAACAAAGATTTTTTGTTTGCTCAAGCAGACATACCAAATGTAGAAAAATTGTATATGCAGATGTTAAAAAAGAATAATTGGGATTATTTAGGAAGCTTAATGAAAATCAGATGACCTTCTAAAATGTTAACCTACCTTTTCCAGATACTTTTTTTTCTCCTCCATCTTTAGGGTTTCATCAATGGTATCTGTTCCCTCTAAAGAAAATAAAGTCATATTCAATCTGAAATACTTTTATCTTGATTTTACAATAATATTGATATAAAATTGCATAAATATAAAAAAGTAGTACATGGAGTAGGAAGATAAATACAAATATGTACTGTATCTTAAAACTTTATAAACCAGATTCATATATAATTGGAGATGGACTTAATTAGCTATGGCTGCAGAACAACTCTAATTTTTAGAAGAGAAGTAAGCCTGAGTCCAGAGACAAGAAAAGGTCCCCATTCAAGATGTTATAGGAATAGAGGCATTTTTCTTTGAATGAATAGGGTGGTTTCTGAGGCAGGGTATGCCAAAGGGTAAAGTTGTATCTTTGTATTTTGCATTTTCTTAATCTTGGAATCAGAATGTTGAAAGGCATAAAACTTGGTACTTACTTTTTTTCTCAAGGAGAAGAGACTGCAAGTAACTTTTCTCTAAAAATTACAAAGAATATAAATCATTAGAAAACAACAGCTTTAAAGGTATTTAAGCTTTCTATACCTATAAAAACAGTTTCCATGTCTTTGGGCTTGCTAAGGTCTTACAGGCCAGGAACTTGGTTCTTAACGTTAACTTTGCCTTCAACTTTCACTAGGAATTTCATGTTTGAACTCAATTATATGACTATTAAAAAAAAACTTTATTGATTTCAGAGAAGAAAGGAGAGGGAGAGAGGGAGAGAAACATCAGTGATGAGAGAGAATCATCAATCGGCTGCCTCCTGCACACCTCCTACTGAGGATCCAGCCTGCAATCCAGGCATGTGGCCCTGACTGGAATCCAACCTGGGACCCTTCAGTCCAAAGGCCAGTGTTCCATCCACTAAGCCAAACCAGTTAGGGCTAAATGACTATTCTTAATATCCTTTCAGCTAAGATATAATAACATTTCCCTAGATGCTTCTATACTCTTTGGCCAAATATATGATATAGAGGATACTTTAAGATGTAATTTTAGATATAACAAAGACACCCCTGATTCTTTTGGGTAGAAGAATTGATGAGAAGCTTTAAGAACTATTTGTATAGAGTTTTAGAAATGTCAAATGAAAAATTCTTACTTTAGAATTAAATTTGATAGGTAGATGAATAAAATTGTGGTACATATATACAATGGGATATCAGCCATAAATAATGAAATCTTGCCATTTGGGGCAGCATGGATGGACCTTGAAAGTATGATGCTAAGTGAAATAAGTCTGACAGAGAAAGACGAATATGTATGACTTACATATTCACTTACATGTAGAATCTAAAGCACAAAATAAGTGAACAAACAAAAGAGAAACAAACTCATAGATATGGAAAACTGATGATTGCCAAATGGGACGGGTATTAATTAAGGGATGGATGAAAAAGGTGAAGGGATTGGAAAGTACAAATAGCCAGTTATAAAAATAGACACAGGCTGTAAAGCACAGGGAATATAGTGAATAATGTTGTAATGATTATATAGCACGGTACTAGACTTGTGTTGGGGGGATCACTTTGTAAGTCATATAAATGTGCAATCACAACTCTGTACACCTGAAACTAATATGATATTGAATGCCAACCATCATGGAAAAAAGAAAAAGCATTATGTTCAGCAGTTCCTCTGGGGAGGGGCTCTAGTATCTTCCATGTTGGCTGAGGTGGAAGCAGCTACTCACCAGTGGCGCTGCTCTTGGAGGACCTGGCCATCCGCAGGCGCTGACAGCTGCTGCCCGACAGCACCAGCTGGGATTCCTTAGGAGGATACAGGGATGCCGTGACCCAAAACTGCTTGGCCAAGCTGGTGTCCTTTTCTGAGGAGCCAGTGAATACTAATAATCCATGGGGACAAGTGTCACAGGGCTTCTTTCCATGGCTGGGGCCTATACTGCGCCTCGCTTCCATGGCAACTGAGGACGCTTGTCCAAGCTCCCAGGAACCCTCTCCCAGCCCCGCCTCTCAGAGAACCTTCAAGTTGGCAGCCACAGGCCAGGCCGGAAACCCTTCGTTTCCTCCGTAGATGTTGAGGTCCAGCGTACATGCCACGCCTGTAGTGACCACAGGCTTCGGGACCAGTCTGTGATGGAGTCCAGACGGGAGAGTCACAACATCAGCTGGGGGCGTGTCTTGTCCTGTTGGAGTCAGTGGGGAAGCACTTCAGCGCTCATGTGGTAGGTCAGCCTTCTACCTGCCTCCCCTGTTCTTCACCTCCAGGTCCCCCAAAGATGTCCCAATGAAGCTTTCTATTCCTCAGCCACTGCCCCAATTCCCCCTTCCACGCCCATTGTCGCAGCTCAGCCCGGTATAGGCCAGCTTCCGTTGGAGAATTAAATAGGGCAGTTCCCATTCCATTGGGAGCTAGAGGTCTCCACTGGGCCAGTGGGTTCCCATGGATATAATTTTTGTTATAATTCTCTCCTCCTCCCCACCCTCATCCTTTAAGGCAAATTTTAGGAAAGAAGCTGGATTTAGATGAACTGCATGTACTAATGGGTCCCGCTAAAGCCTGCCTAGACTGCCAAAGTGTGAATGACGATTTATTTTTATTTTTATTTTTTATTTTTTTATTTTTTTGTGAATGACGATTTAAAGATGCCTGATGAGTGGATTCAGTCCTTTCATGGAAAATAAATTTGTTAGTGTAGTCCTATGGGAACATTAACAAGTGCTTGTGAATAGCTTTCCTGGGAGATTTTGTTAATCTAGGAACAGTTTAACCATTTCAGAGACAGGAAAATTGTAATTACTGTGGCAGGAACTGATGACCCCCCATAAAGGCAACTTAGGAAAGGAACACATGCTCATGACAATTTATGTCGGCATGGCACTTTATTCTTTCCAAACACGAATACAATCTCATGGAAAAAATATTTCAAAAGTTGATAATCACACATCTACACAGTTACCCAATCTATCCCAAAGCTTTCTGGTTAAGAGCCTGATGAAATACTGAAACATTTTATATGAACACACACGTACATTTCATCACAAACATTATATATTTATCAGCTAACATGTTGAGTTCTCTCTTGGCTGAGAGAACTGGCAACATTGCTGTGTCCCAATCCCAGCTCCTTCCCCCACGTATGTTGATGTGCCCAAGGCGTCTCGCTTGGATGAATTCCCAAATCTTTTTACTTGGCCGTGTAGTTAGTGATTGGGTACTGTTAGCAATCAGCTAACTACACTGCCTAGCAACTAGACTCACAGAAAACAGAGTACTTTCATCACAAACTTGCAGTCTCAAGTTGGCGTCCCATGTTTTGCGACGGGCTAGCCATTGCTTCAGCTTTAGTTGGTGGGTGTGTGAATGTCCTACTAAGTAATGAAAAACCGGCAGGATTAATCAATCACAGCTACACAGCATTAAACCATTAAATGTCGTTACATGGGGCGGAGTCCTCCCAGCAGTTTAAAAGTCTGCACCTTACAATTAAAGCCATCAAAGCCCCCACATTTCGCTTTCCTTACGTGGGATTGCACACTCTTGCTTTACTCTTAGAAAGGGGAGTTGTTTAAGTGTATCTAGAAGCAGTGTCTCTTCCCCCACCCCCCGACCCCCCCGAATTCTCAGGGCTTTGCTGGCACTTGGACCACTCGCTGGCCCCGCAGCGCCAGGCCCATCACACGCTGACGCATCAGATCTCCGAGCGCCTGCAGCTCGCTCCGCTCCAGCTCCGGGGCGGGTCCTCTCCTCCGGCGGCGGCGATGCTGTGCCTTGTTTTGATGGCAGTGGAGTTAGTGATTGCCAGCACACAGCACAATCAGCTAATTACACTGCCTACAAACCGAGCACCGGCGCCCGCAGGCTGCAGCTCCAGACGGTCCGCAGCGCCCACGCGGTGTCCCCCGAGCCGGCAGCCCGCAATCGCCCCCCGCCCGCCTCGACCCCACACTTCACCAGGGAAGGTGCCCGCAGGGCCTGGGCGCGAAGCCCCGGCGGCGAGGCTCGCGGGACGACGCCCCCGGACCCGCCAGGGACCCCCACCCGGGACCCGAGCCCGGCCCGCAGCCTGCGCAGTCCCGCAGGACTTGCCGCGCACACCTAGCGAGGCACGGCCATCGGGCGGCGCTCCGGAGGGCACCCCGCACCCCGCACCTCCTGGGCCGGCACCCCCCTTTCCCCTCCAAACCCTAGGTGGCTCCCGGGAGCGCCCGGGCGGCCGGCTTCACCTCTGCCGCCGCAGAGTCCTGCCTCCGCCGCCCCGCAGCCTCCCGCACCGCCCGGGGTCTCCCCTCCTGTCCCCCGCGCTTCCCCCTGCGGCTCCCACCGCCCTCACTCCCGGGCGGCCCGACGACCTCTCTCCAGTTCCCAGCCCAAACCCTAGAGCCGGCTCTCTACCCCGTGCGCCCCGCAGCTCCAAACGGCCAAGTGACAGTGGCCGTGGCCGTGGCCGTGGCGAGCCAACCGCCCTTGGAACCCCGCGAGGAGGGGGGCGGGGCGGGCACGCGGGGCTGGTGGGGGAGGGGCCGGGGAGAGAGCGAAGGGAGCTGAGAAGGGGCCTGGAGGGAGGGAAGAGGCCAGGAGACCCAGGCACCTTTCCTTAGAAAGTTCCTCTACTACCCCATAGGACTAGAGGGACTAAGAGCTCCTTCTCCCCTGCCCCTCCCCCAAAAGCCCCAAGACCCCGCTTTTCACGCCCATCCCCATTAAGGAAGACAGCTGGCCTGGGACTAAATGGAAGGCTGACTTCTCCCAATGGAGATAGGCCTGGACCCTGAGTTTGAGGGTCTCATCTGCAGTCTGTATTCCCCCTTCAAGGCTGGAGGGCGCTGGGGTGAGGTGGAAGGCTGATCTAGTCAAAAAAAGGCAGCCAGCGAGCTTGTTTCTCAGAGCCAAGGATGGCCCTCAGGAGACCAAGGCCACAGTTTTATCCTCTCAAGACCCACGAGAGGCAAAACCAAAACGAGTCCTACTTCCAGCACCTCTTTATTGAAATACCAGCATGTGTTTAGCCCCTAGTCATTGGTGGCAACAAACAAGTGAACCTCGTTACCTTTGGAGACAGTAGACCATCAATCACTCACTGGGAAGAGACAGAAGGGAGAATTGTGACTGGTCAGGGGAGGTTCATGGAGCAGGTCCTTGAAATAAGACTAAATTTGGACATTCAGGGTGAGGGCTGCGAAGGCCAGAGAAAGAATGTCTTTGACCAGTTCCATTTCCTTTTTCCCACAATTTCACATGTGATGATGTGATGTGTTTATGTGTGGATTTGGGGTAGATGGGGCCAAGAGGACGGACAGAGGGTTCCCGGTAGACCTCCATTATTAACTGTTCCGTTAGTTACTCCTCCTCCCTTTCCCTTCAATAAATGAAGCAGAAGAGGATAAAGAATATTCTCTGATTACTCACTGTGTGGAACTCAATTGGAAGTAGTTTCCCACCCCCCAACATGGTCTTCATGAACCCAGCATAAGGCACTCGTTGTTGATCCTGAAAGCTTAGTTCTAAATTATTTTCCATCAAAGAAAGCTTCCCAGCTACGGACCGATTCCAGAAACCAGCAAATGGTCTCATAGGTGCCATCAATAACATGGAGAGCAGAGAAGGGAATCCTGTGAGATTTATCAACACACACCCCATATCCACACTATTAACACGCCAGAACTCCCCAAGGATAAGTTTAAGTTACAGTATTATTTTTGAGTATGAAAGTATTTTTGCTAAATTCCTTGTTTTTTTCTGTGAACACCGACAGTGAAGAGTAAGAAACCAAAGTGAAGTATACAATGTGCAGTACAGAAAACATGAATGTGAAAATCAACCTGTAAAATTAAAAAGACAAAACACAAGTCATTTACAACTCACTGTAACTTGTGTCCATCTCATTTTGGGGAGAGGCACAATATTCTAGAACACATTACACCATCCCTTATGCTTCTTTACAATGTACAATCAACAAGCCCTCCCAGGCAACACGCTGAAATCAGAGCTCATAACCTCTGAGCTCTCTAGAGATAACTGTAGAGCCACGTTTGTATTTTACAGTTAAATAGACATACATAAATAAAACCAGGAGCTGAATACCCTCTATTCCATTAGCAATATGCTGACTTTTAAGTCTTGATTAGGGCACAGTTACAAAAACAAATCTGTTCTTTCAAATGGTTAGCCATTTTTCCTAATGTAAGATTGTCTGCCTCTTCCTGATTGATGTCTGATGATTATTAGTTGCATCTTGCATGCCTTACCTGAGCTGGATTGCTCTCATCTAAGGCATGGGTTGCAGTAGATGCCTTGAGATTCAGATTTTTAAAACTCCTCTTCAAATATAATAAAAAATAAAGAAAACAGAGATATAAAAGTCATCAAGATGCATTTTCTACTGAAATAAATTTTTAAAATGCCGTTTATCTTGTGGATAGTACAACGAAAGCAGTTCAATAATGAGAAGAAGCTGTGTGGCCTGGCTCTGTGTGTGTCAGTTTTAAAGAATGCTTGTTCTCAGGGTTGTTGTTGATGTGGCCTCAGTTACTAGAGAAACTCCACGGATCTCGTTCCCTTTATAGTTCATGTCTAGGCATGCCTGGAGACCAGGAGACTCATGATTTAATCTAAGTAAGAATGCTGGGGATGGTTAAAATGCCCCAACAGAAGGCTGTGTTTGCTTTAGACAGTACCAGGAAGGCACCTTTCACGGGAATTATTTACTGTTTTATTTAATTTCTGGGCTTTTGATGAATAGAGAGATGGGGAAGGAGCACTAAGAAAAGGAGGTGAGATTAGTGATGAGAAGGAAACGAAGAAGAAGCTAGAAAACAAACACCTTTTCTTTTAGCTTGGGCAAATTTATATTGGCTACATTTACCACTCCTACATAAAAGACAGAGAAGTGATGGGGAGTTGGGTATTAACACATAAACACCATTGAACTTTTTCTATTTATTACAACTTTTGAAGCATGTTAGGAAGGAAGAAGAGAAGAATTAGACTGATTAGAAATGATTGGAGTTTATCAACTTCTTTTTAGATCTGTTTATTTTTTAAATGCCCATTTCCTCTTATGAAATATAAAACTATATTTTGATTTAAATATATATATATCAACAAATGCCAGATTATCTTATTAATATTCATGATACTACATTTAGGAATTGTTTATGTATCAAAGTAAGACAAGATTGAAGTCAACTTAGTGCCTTTGAAGAACTAAACATCAACAAGTATGTTTCTGAGGGATTTTTCTTTCTAACTAAAATGAAATGCCAGCAGTTTTTATAATTTTATACTTCTGATTCCATTTTATTGCACTCTCATTAGTAAGAGTGCACCAGATTCTTAATTAGCTTGTATATATTTATTGATTAATCAATAATACTGCCTGAGATATGAAAATGTTAAATTAATCTTTCAGTAAATCAGAAACAATCTAAAAATAGGCTTTATATTTAAAGTTGTTTGAGCTCTTAGTAGTAGGAGTAAACATGTTGCATATTTATCGTCTTCAGAGAACACAGTCTAGGGATTTATGGTTAGCTGGAGAGAGACACAATTTGTATCTATAATAATAAAAGCATAATATGCAAATTAACTGAACGGCCACCCGGCCGACCTCCCAAAGCCGGGTTGTGAGGGCCAAGGCAGCCAGGGCTGTGAAGGCCTACTCTTGCATGAATTTTGTGTATTGGGCCTCTACTATATAAATAATTGAGATAATTACACAGTCATCTCTCAGGATCCCTGGAGGATTGGTTCCAGGACCCCTTATGGATACCAAAATCTGCAGATGCTAAAGGTCCTTATATAAATGGTGCGGTGTCCTATCTAATAAAGCTGGTATATGCTAATTAACTCTCACACTGTCCCAAAGATGGCGGCACCCACAGTCAATAAGGAGGGAATATGCTAATTGACTGCCTGCCCTCAAATATGGTGGTACCCACAGCCAATGAGGGAATATGTTAATTGACTGCCACATCCTCAAAGATGGCAATGCCCACAGCCATAAGAGGGAGGCGCTCAGTCCCCTCAGCCTTGCTGGGGTGGCAGGCGGGCCTGTCTGCTCTGTGTACCTGCCCCTGGAGTCTCCCAGTACCCTCAGTCCCCCAGCCACCCAGGGCCAGCCCGAGGTGCAGGCAAGCCTTGGATGGCAGCTGTCTAAACACCCAGAGCCCGCCGAAGGCACAGGGAAGCCTTGGATAGTGGCTGCCCTGCCACCCAGCGCCACCCAAGGCTCAGGTAACCTGGGCCAGCTGAGGCTTGCACTGCTGGCAGTGGCAGTAGCAGAGGTTTGATGGATCATCGCTTTCCCCTGATCACCAGGTCACCTCCCACCTGAGGGCTCCCGGACTCTGAGAAGGTGCAGGCTGGGCTAAGGGGGAAACCACGCCCCCCCACCCCTGTGCACGAATCTTGTGCACTGGGCCACTAGTTTGTATATAACCTACATCTTCCTGTGTACTTTAAATTATCTTTAGTTTATTTATAATTCCTAATACAATGTAAATGCTATGTAAATAGTTGTTATACCGTATTGTTTATGGAATGATAAAATAAAAGTCTGTACAGGTTCACTACAGATGCAACCATCCTACATACACGGTATAACATTTAAAAATATATAATTTATTGATTTTTTACAGAGAGGAAGGGGAGAGGAATAGAAACATTGATGAGAGAGAGACATTGATTAGCTGCCTCCTGCACATCCCCTGGGGATGTGCCTGCAACCAAGGTACATGCCCTTGACCAGAATCGAACCCGGGACCTTTCAGTCTGCAGGCTGACTCTCTATCCATTAAGCCAAACCGGTTTGGGCTATGGTATAACATTTTTAAAAAATATTTTTGATCAAAGTTTGGTTGAACCTGAGGATGCATAACCCACGGATTTGGAGGACTGACTGCATTTAATTACATTAATATACTCAATATGATAATTTAGTTATTATTTGTATAATTATACTGCATATAATTATATTAAATGCCAAGATGGAACTTATGTATGCTGTGTTTAGGTTTAGGCATGTTTAGTTTTAGGTGGTGAAAGGACATGGTGGTGGTGGAATTAGATAGATGGAGCTGGAACTCCAAACCTGAACTGCAAAGAGAGATTTCGTAGTTTCCTAAAGCTGTATGAGTTGAAGTTGTGAGAATAAGTGAGATCTCCAAGAGACCTCTGCTGTCTTCTTTTTATTGATCCTCCAGCACTTCCTAACCTGCTATGGTCCACACAGGACAGAAGACCACTAACAGCAACGTGTTATTCTTGCAGAATAGGGGGCAGCATGAGGAAAGCAGAAGGCTCCAGACCAGCTTCGAGAGCATCCATCTGCTATTTAGGGGCTGGCAAGAGGAAGTACATATTGGGAATGGTTAGTCCACAAGGAGAAGCAGAAGAGAGGATTCTCACAGAAGCCAAGCTGTTGTAAATAGGATCCTGTGCATATATGAGTCCAAGGGTAACTGCTGCCTTGGCACCACCAGGCCATAAGGTGTGGTCAGTGGAATTGGCCACAGAGCAGCAGAAGACTGCAGGGCTCGGGCTCTGTCAGAATGTTCTGCCTCAGTGCTGTATCAGCCAATCAGTAAAGGGTCCGTAAACTGCTCTGGTTGCTAGTAAATGGATTATCTTTCCTGGCCACTTCTCACCACTGATTAAACTCTGTCACCTCTAAAAAAAAAGGGGGGGGGGAGGCTAGATTGTCAAGCTTACCTCTTATAAGAGGTAATTTTAGGGTTTTAGTACAACCACCAAGTCATCTAGCTGAATCAGTTAATTCTCTTATGGAGAAAGTATACTCTCCATAAGAAAACTGGCTGATTATCTTGTTAACTAATTAATTTATAAGAATAAAAAATACTTCATGCTATTCTTTTAACAATTACTCTATGTCTACTTATTCTTGTTCTTATTTTCACTCTACCTAACTTGACACAATCCTTTTTTTCTTTGTAGATTTATACTTTTTAGTTTTAAAAAAATTAAATAGTTCTTATTGTTATTATCTCTATATCCACAGACTATCTCTCAAGAATTTCATCAGGATTACATTTACTAAAGTTCACATTGTCCTTCCCCTCTTAGGTCTGTGGTTGGCAAACTGGGGCTTGCGAGACACATGCGGCTCTTTGGCCCCTTGAGTGTGGCTCTTCCATAAAATACCATGTGCGGGCACTCACATACAGTGCAATTGAAACTTCGTGACCCATGTGCAGAAGTCAGTTTTCAACTCTCAAAAGAAATGTCAGTCATTGTACTGTTGATATTTGGCTCTGTTGACTAATAAGTTCACTGACCACTGTGTTAGCTCATCCATTGTTTTTTTATTTTTATTTTTTTAAATATATTTTATTGATTTTTTACAGAGAGAAGGAGAGAGGAATAGAGAGCTAGAAACGTCGATGAGAGAGAAACATCAACCAGCCGCCTCCCGCACACCCCCCTCAGGGGATGTGCCTGCAACCAATGTACATGCCCTTGATCAGAATCAAATGGGGGACCCTTCCCTTCAGTCCGCAGACCGAGCTCTACCACTGAGCCAAACCGGCTTCGGCTCATCCATTGTTTTAATCTCAGGCTCAAACCCTGCTTATTGGGTAACATTTTCTTGGTGCTTTTTAGTTCATCTTGCTCATTCTCTTCTCTAACTCCTTTTGCACTTAGTCTATGTATTCTACAATTTGTATCTTCCACTGGTAAAAGAGCATTCTTTTCCAATATGTAATTGCATTTTGAAAAAAAAATATTTTGTTATAATAGTAGAATATGATGCCATATATAACACTCATTTCTTATATTAGCAAAGAACATTGTATGCACATTTTCATAGTGGGCTAGCTTGGTTTCCAGCTTGATGCAATTTCTCCATTGCACTCTGTAGTAGAACACCACTTAAATCATAGTGCTCAATAATTTACGGTTCCAGTTATAATGAATGTTCCCCCTGAGTTTGTATGTAACTGCATTAAAAAAACAATAGTGTTTTCAATGTTTCACAGCTTTGTTTCCTTTATGGCCTCCTGCAAAGACCCCAGATGAAAATTTGCCAATCTGTCCTGCTTTCTATTTTTATGAAGACAATCAAAGCTGGCCCAAGAAACACAATTTGTGACTTTTAAAATGGCCAATGATGTCTTTAAAATGTGATCTTCCATGACAATTTATAACAAAATGGTCCTATTTTTGTGGGAAGGGACGTAACATAACATGAGGTTATACATCAGTATGTATATATATTTCTATATAGACTTGGGGAATACTGCTAAACTTCTATAACAATGCTATTGTATATCACTGTCTCTGTTTATATATTTCAACTACAATATTACCCAGAGGCACATTAACTGTTGCACTTTTGAATGTCCAAAATTTACATTTTAGAAATAATGAGAAAAATATGTACGTGTTCCCCCTCAAAAATAAAAATAAAAAAAGGAAATAGAAATAAAGTCAGAAAAAATGCTTGTCC